AAAAAAAAAAAAAAGAACAATCCAGACTCTTTGTCTTTATCCTGACATGTCTGAATTGTGTACACATAGGATGCAAAGACCATGCATTCCAATTTGTTCATGAATTGTTCACCTGGTGAAGAAGAGAGCCTGAGTCCCCCAGATGTGAAAAGAACTTCTCAGCCCGTCTCCAGAATTCACAGTCTTCTGGCTCTGATGGTAGGGCTTCTCAAACCCCAGGTAATTAAAAAAAAAAAAAATCCGTATTTTTTATTGGGGGAGGAAGAAATATCGAGGTCGGACTAAACCAAAGAGCAATCTAAAGCCACAGAGTTTAGTTATGGGAGAAAAAAATGGAAGACCCTTCATTTAGTACTTTTTACATGTCCTGGAAGCTCTATCAGAGCAGTAGTCTTGTTTTCTGGCTCAGTCTGAGCCTAGTGATTGGTAAGTATTCCCATAAGCGAACTGTTTACCCAATCTAAAATTTAGCTTTGGTCAGAGGGAGGGCAGTAGGGAGTTCTGTACATTGGTGGAATGAAGAACGAAGTTGGTGTCAGGTGAGTTCAAATACTGACTTCATCACCTCCCTGGCTGTGTGACTTGGCCAAGTGACTTTACCTTTATCAGCCTTAGCTTCCTCTTCCTAAGTAGGGGAAATGATACTTGCCACTTCCCTGGGAGGTAACAAGCACTGTATTTAACGAGAGACCATGTAACAGGGCCTGGCATTTGCTAGCTTTTCAAATGAGCTAGTTGTCTTTCTTACTCTTCTATTAATGTCCATTTCTCTGATCTTTTTTTTTTAATTTATTTCAGAGAGAGAGTGAGCAAGAGAGAGTATGAGCAAGGGGGAGGGGCACAGGGAGAGGGAGAAGCAGACTCCCTGGTGAGCAGGGAGCCCGATACGGGACTCAATCCCAGGACCCAGGGATCATGACCTGAGCCAAAGGCAGACGCTTAACCGACTGAGCCACCCAAGTGCCCCATTTCTTTGATCTTAAGTGCAATCATCTGAGCCAAAACTGGGGGGCATGGCCTGTGATGTTCCTGATCCAACACAATGCTTATTTCTATTGTGGTTAGCTAAAGTTTGTTGAATACTAGCATTTATTTAATACTAGAAACTGAGCTGAGCATTTTATGCAGAAGATCACAAAGTGGTGGCCCACAGACTATATCCACCTGAAGTTTTGTTTTTACACATGTGAATCTGAATGTGGCACAGACTCTTCTTAGCTACAAACTTTCCCATCCCACTTTGTTCCTTCAAACATTTGCTTACTCACCATAAGCCTTGGCTCCCCACTCCCACCTATGTCAAGAGGCTGCTCTTCTTTCTGCCTTAATTGCAGCCTGCTGCTTCTCTACCACCGCTCCCAAGGAGGAAATGTGTCCTCAGCCCTCTGGTCGGTGGATGTCATCCCACACCAAACAAATATTATGTTCCCTTGCTCTGTGCCTCCCACCCCCGCTAGAATGGAAGTCTTCAACATCAGAGACTTGGAACGTTGTATGCCCTGTACCTAATATGGGTTAAGCCCTTAATCGGCACTCAGCAATGTTTGTTGACTTCCCAACCTGTCCTTGAAGTCTTTCAAGTCTACTCTCCCTGCTTCTCATGGGTTATCTCATCCAGTCCTTATACCATTCTTTATATTATCAGGCTTTTTTTTTTTTTGGAAAAACTAAAACT